TTGGGGGCTGTTATGGGGGTGTTGGTGGTGTTATTAGGGGTTTTGGACCCCAATTTTATTTATTTATTTATTTATTTTTGCAGGGTGCTGACAGCCGACCAGTCAGGGGCCACCGACCATCGGGGGGTGCATTCTATTTCTTGATTTATGTGTATCGCCCTTGTGCAGGGACGGGCGATGCTAATCGAACTTCTCTGTTTCGTTCCAATTTTAACGGATGTCCCTTCATTGTATGCCGTTCGTTCCTTGTCTTGCTATGATTAGTTGGATATCTCTTGGTAATCAGTTAAATGGGGTGAGACTGGTGGATGAAGGATTGCGGCAGCGATTTAGAGATTGCTACCCCGAAGTTGAAGTCGAGCCTCCGGATCCGCCAAGCAAGAGCTCTGATGCAGTTGTGCCTGCTGCGTCTGTTTCCACGGTCCCAACTACTGTGGCGGACCCGTCTGTTTCTAAGGCCGCAGTCCCAGGGATTGAGAACCTCCCACAGGGGGTCTCACAGGCAGTTCCGCAGGCGGCTGGGACCGCCCCAGTACCAGGAACGACTCCTGTTGCGGTTGGCACAGAGGTGGGGAAACTGGTTGCCGACAAAAAATGACTGGTCGGCGATCCCATCGAGAAATGAATCAGGGTGTTAAGAAAGAGGCCGTGCCCTAGCAGTGCTTTCTGGATTGCAAGAGAAGAATAAGGGGACAATTAAGACAGGATGTCCTCAAAAGTGTTGTCTGGTAATGTGGGCAAATCTGCTTCAGAGGGGAAGGCGAAAGATCGTTAGAGGTATGTTCTCTCTCTCTCCCTCTCTCTCTCTCTCTCTCTATGGCTGTGTGTTTGTGTGTCTGTGTCGGCATGAGGAATGGGAGGTGGTCAGGCTCCGGATGGAGAGGAGCAGGAGAAGCAGAAAACAGAGTCAGAGAAGGAGAGCAAAACGAGGGAGAGAGAAACGGGGGGGAGAGGGGAGGGAGGGGGGGGGGAGGGGATGGATTGATGCATATGACACAGCCCATCAACCCCTGAATCCTTGCAACCTTTCCTCCCCCTCCCCTGCGCCCCATGCCCCCTCCTGGCTCTCCCATAACCTATGAGACACAACGTGCATGGGTGCATATGACAGCCCATCAACCTCTGGATCCTTACAACCTTTCCTCCGCCTCCGCTGCGCCCCCCCCCCCCCCCCCCCCCCCCCCCCCCCCCTGGCTCTGCCAAAATCTAGGAGACACAAAAAAGAAAAGAAATAGCTCAGCCCATGAATCCTTACAATCGTGCCTCTCTCTCCCCTGCGGCCCCTGCTCCCTCCCGCTTTGCTCTCCGAAAATCTATGAGAGAAAAGAAAAGAAAAGAAAAGAAATAGCCCTTATTTGTGACGTTGTCAATGAGCGCGACACGTCTCCGAAAATAGTTCGAACTTTCAAATTAAGAAAAAAATGAAATAAAATATCGTGCTGGTGGAATGGGAACCGGACTGACGCTCCCCAGAATGGATATGGAGCCAGGACCATAAGGACCTCTGTTTTTTCAACTTTTTTGTAAAAAAAAATTAAAAAAATTGGCAAAATGCTAATTGCTACCGTCTTCACCCGAATAGAACACCCCGTCATTATATCCGTATTTGGTGCAATTTTCAGTCTACATACAGCGATAATGACCGGGCGTTCTATTCGGGTGAAGACGGTAGGTTTAAAGTTTAAACCACCCGTAAGTACATGGCCCCAGGCAACTTGAGAAAACTAGAGAGCCTGCCTATCCAAAAAGTCTCAAAGGTCGAGGCAACTGGACCAAAATGGCTGACGGCGCCAGCCAAATCGGAAACCTGGAAATGTTACGCTGGCGTTTCGGCGAAGCGTGGCGCAATGGGAGCACAACCCTCCAGCCGTGGATGTACCGGTGGTTTAAACTTTAAACTTTAACCCAGGCCCATTCTGCAGGGGCTCAGGCGTGGCTGGGGCAGCGCGGCTGGGCGGCCCTGGTAGTGATCTTATAATAGGGTTGTAGTGCATAGTACAGAACAGTGAGCTTGTCCGTATGATTGTTCTCATTGCGTACTCACATGAGGGCCCCGCTGACCGAGAAAAGGTTAACCGACCCCCCATTTTTCACCTCAATTTATAAGAAAACCATAAGGCCATCCCAAACAAACTTCACACCAATCTAAGCTTGTCCTAAAACAAAAACAGGCAAAAAACAAAATTCCAAAAAAACACAAAATTTGACCCCGAAACCCTAATTTCAGGATCATTCATCGTTACCCAGGGCCGAAAAGTGGGGGTCCCCGTTAACCACTTGTGCGAGCGTGCTCTGGACGCGACTACGGTCGGATGCAGCCAGGTCGAACCGTCATTTCAGTCAGATGCATTTAGAAAAGTGCTGGCCTGAGTATGGCCTTGGAAATCAAATACGCGCTGGACCGCCGGTTATATTTGGGTGCCAAGTGTGGTTCCGTACAACCGGACCGAATTGGCTTGTTGCGCCAGGCTAAATGGGGGCACGGGCCGGTTCAATTTTTTTTGTCCCGCAGGGAGATTTTAGGCTTGGCATCCGTAGCTGAGAATGGTAGTGGTGGTTTTAAGCTCTCAAATGGTAAAAATTCTCCCAATTGAATGACTGCCGGGATTTGGGTCTGTGCGGTATTAATCTATTTGGAGAAATTTTGGACTCGGAAAATGGTGGTTATTGATTGAGTGAGGGAGGATATGGCGAATAAAATTGACAACATTTTTTTTATGGTTTTTTTTTTTTTTTTTTTTTTTTGTGCTGGGCCTGCTTGGAACCCTGCCCGAGGTTCATGCCCGGCCGGGCACCCGGGCATAAGTTGGGTGCCCGGGCCCCTGGAAAAACTGCCTAGTCTAAAACCCTTTGTTTTCTTTTTTTTTTCTTTTTTCGTGTATTTTTTACCTGGGAAAAAAAATATTATTGTGCCCGCTCAAACCCTGCTCAAGGCGCTTTGAGCGTGCGGGATTGAGCGGCGCTCAAAAACTTCAGCCCCGACCGCGCAGTGAATCCGGACGCGGGGTTTCGTAGCTCACCCGTAATCATGTCTATTGACAGTCTATTTGGGGTACAGAGACAAGTTGGGTTGATGAAATGTTGTCACAACAATGACGGGCGCCTGAACCAATCAATGGCAGGGTGGCTTTCCATCATGGGAAAGTACATGTAATTATTGGGTAAACTCTAAAAATTACTAAAAATTTAAAAAATGGGTAAACTCTAAAAATTAGCAAAAAAGATAAGAAAAGCCGTCTCCGTCCAATCTTCTTCTTCTTCTTCTTCTTCTTTTTCTTCGTTTTTATTTTGTTTATTTTTTTTAATTTGGACCATTTCTCGATTTATGCATGTCATCCTGGCGCAGGGGCCATGCTAATCTTCTCTGTATCGTTCCAATCTTCACGGATGTCTCGAAGGACCGTCCAATCTATGGTCGTCGACGGGACAATATGGTCACCCACTGAGGTGGGGGCCTAAGACCTGTCTCATCCTGCAGCTATCGTTTTACCCCCCGATAGAATGAATGTATGGCGGCTGTAGCTGTATTCGGTTCAACTTACAGTCCAGATACAGCGACGACGATTCGAGGGAAGACGGTTCCCCTGGGGCTACACACTGGAAGAATCGGTCAATGCCCAAGGCACCCTTCCGTCACAGCTGTCCTAGCCCCGCTCCTGGCTATGCGAAATATCTGGGGCAGGCATGCAATTGAAACGGTATTCACCAGTTCGCAGTAGCGAATGCAGATCCCAGGGCTCGATCCCTAGTTCCCCATCTTACCTGTGTACAGTAGTGATGTCAACCCGTAGATTTGAACCTGCGACCTGTCGAAATGCCAGTGGTAGGTAGATTGTCGTAGGTCACAGCTTAGAAGGGAATCGAACTGTAGACTTGTAGGGTAGGAGTCTAGACAGTTCCGAAGTCGTAGT